AGTCCGCCGGGGCTGGCGGTAGGCGTCCTTCATGGTGGTGCTGTCAGCCAGCTGGGAGAGGAGCTGGCGGGTGAGCAGCCCGTGGTGGCCGTGCCGGTAGAAGAACGCCTCTCTGCCCAGCTCCGGCATTGGCACACGGTCCAGGTCATTCGTGGCTCTCTGGGAACAGACTACAGGGGCTGTGGGGAGGGGGCAGGAGGCAAGCGCAGTCTTTGCCCTGTGTTTGCTCCAGGCTTTTAAGCTTTTGACAGTCCCATGTAGCTCTGAGCAGAGAGGCAGGAGGTGGGCCCAGGTCCCCACAGGCAACGCTCCCCTCCTGCTGAGTTGCGCCACGTCTTAAACGTGATGACTCCTTGTGGTGTGGGCACCACCACATACCCAAGGCCACGCCAACCCCATGTTTGCCCCAAGCATTGCCCGTCCACACAACTACCACAGCACAGGGTCATGCCCACACCATGCAGTCACCACCATGATGCGGTGACAGTACCCTCATTTTGGGCTGTGGCGTGTCTCCCCCAGGACCCTGGCATCAAGGTGCAACATCCAGCTGGGTGCCAAAGCCCAGTACGATGAGCAGCTCCCTAAAACAAGGTGCTCCAGGGCACCTTGCTGAGGAGGAGCCCCAGATGCTGAGGCTCGTTCTGCAAAAAGGAGAGGGTCCTTCCCGTAAGCTCTGCTCACCAGGAAAGCTGCAAAGGAGACACCTGCAGCCTGGGTAGGGCTGAGCCTCTCTCTGCCTGCCCAGGGTCAGACATCCCTGTAGAGCTACCAAGACCCCCACCAGGAAAAGCTGAAGGAGGCAACAGGTGCTCAGCCTGCGTGGAAAACAGCCCTGCACAGCCGTCCCAGCTGGCCTTACAGCTGGGCAAGCACTGCTACGGCATTAAAGCAAACCAGGAGGCTCTCTGAGCCTCAACACAGCTTGGCAGCAACCCCCGGCCCAACCTGCCCCTGCCAGGGCAGCTGGCACAGCAAGAGGGCATCCCCATTGCCCTGTCATGCGGAGTCACCACATGGTCATCGCCAGCTGTCGGGCTGCCAGGGCACACAATGCAACGCACCCACGGCCTTTGGGTGGCTGCCCTGGGATGCATCCAGTTCCCCATGCAAACTATTGCACAGGGAGCCCAGTTGCCCCAGGAGACACTCATCCCTCTGCACACACTTCAGCCAGTGGCCCACGCTTGTGCCGCCAGCCCAGCGCATATCGGACAAGCAGCTCCGCTCTGCGCTGCACGTGGAGCAGGGCCAGCAATGTGCCCCACACGGGCTCTCCCCCAGCAGGCACCCTCCTCGCTTTTGGGCGCTGCGTGTGCACTGGCCTCTTGATTATTCAGCCACTTCAGACCAAATATGAGCAACTCCAGTTCTGCTCTGGCACCAGCTCCATCAGAAAGAGGCCGGGTTAGGGGAGACCTGGGCCTGAGGCAGCCACGGTCTTTGTAAAGCGGACACTGATCAGCAGCAACGATGCAGGGAGAAGTTGGAGAAGAGCTGGCGAGGAGACTTGTAAGGATGCCAGTTGTTGATGCACTGGGTAAATATCCTGAGGGACAAGGCCCTCTGCATAACTGGGACATTCACTGTGGGCAGACACTGAGTGTAAGGGAAATTAGCCCCTACACACGGGAACCCCGTCTCCGCTGCTGACCATCACTGCTTTCTTGGTGGAAAACTGCCTGCTACATTTACCAGCTGCAGAAATCTAGGAGTGAGAAAAGTCAGCTCTTTCAGCTCTGCAGGAAAAGGTCCGGGGATGAGACTGACGCTAGAAAGCATCAGGGCAGGGCTGTCACGGCAGCACATGTGGTGCAGAGTCCTGAGGAAGTCTCAGCTGTGATTCTGTGCCCAGGTCAGGCCACAGCACTTTAAGATAGACATTGGCCAAAGGTGAAGCACGCAGAGTGCAAAAATACGAATAACGCAACCTCTGGGAAGGAATGAAGAGGTTCAGGTTCAAAGTAGAGTGAGGTTAGATGTGGGAAGGGTCTCTATGTGCAAAATAGGGAAGGGAATAAAGGCATCTCCTGACTGCACAGCCAGGACGAAAAGCTGTAGGTTCAGCCTGTGCTGAGGGAGAAGCAGGCCAGGCTTCAGGGGACATTTCACAGGAAAGAGTTGAAGCACGGGTGCTCAGCGGGAAGGTTACCTGGGGAGGGCTGCACCCTCCACCCCACAACTTTACATGCAGGCTAAACGTGTCAGGAATGGCTGGGCAGAGCTCCTGCTGCCTGGGCCAAGGACAAAGATGCTATTTAGAGAGCTCTGCCAACTCTATTAGTCTAATTTTGTCCTAGATGGCCACTTTTGGTCCACCTACTCTTCATCCAGCAGTGTCCTCTGGTCTGCACAGCCCTCTGAGCTCCCCAGGGCATTTGGATGCAGCAGTCGGGCTCAGCGAAGGGATCGGGGATCCTCCTCTCTGCCTTCGTTGCCCCCCTCAGTCCTGCTCGCCTCACCAGGGGCTACCGACTTGCGCTTGCTTTTTCAGCAACACCCTCACTAGAGCCCTGCTCCGTGGCACAAATACTTTCCTAGCTCTGCTGGAAAATGCCTGGCCTGACACTTCCTTGCATCGCCTCAGTCTCTGCTGTCACTACGGCTTCCCATTTTGTCAGCTTGTCACTACTCCACGATCGACCGCAACACTCAACCCTCTCTTCCGAAACAACGAGCTCCAGGTTACAGCTCTTGGTCCCTAAGTGCATGCCAGTGCATTTTGCACTATTGAATTTCATCCCATTTCTATCCTGCAGATCTCAAGGTCATCCAGGGAGCTCAGGCTTGGTCAAGGACAGCTATTTAAAGAGAGAGAGCTCATCCGGGGGTGCTGACAGGCCGTGCCCTGGTGTAGGCTAAGACCGAGGGTGCTGGCAACAGTGCATTCCCAGGGCCTTCCCTTGCCCCAGCTGCAGCCTGTGAGCACGAGAGAAAGCGCAAAACACAACGGCAGGCCTCCGCTAGCAAGATGGGGGGCCAGGGCACCCCATGGCAGGATTGGGGGCGGGCAATGGACAGAGAGGCCTCAGTACAGACTGACAGAGCATGGAGGGGACCTCCTCAGCTCCAGCGAGGCAGGAAGCACACGGTAAGCAAGGCTGACCTGGGCCAGCGTGCAGACTATAGCGTTTCATCTAACATACGAGCAGGGGCTTCGCGGCAAGGGGGTAGGAACGTGGCAGACTGCCAGAGCTGTCTTCGAGAAACATTTCGCACTGCTACGCATAGCACCTCCAAGCCAGTGTTGGGGAATTACCTCCTCCTGCCAGTTGTGGATCAAGCAACTTCCCCGGGGCGCGGGCTGGCTCGGC